CCGCCCCCCCCCCCCCGCCCCGGGCACCAGCCACAGCTCGCTCTCCTCCGGCTGCTCCTCCACCAGCTCCGAGTCGATGTCCACGAAGAACTGGGAGCCAAATGCAGTGAACAGGGAGGATTGGACGACTGAGCACCTGGCTGGGAGCCCCAAGCTACTGCAGCCTCAGCCTCGCCCAGCAGGGGGCGCTGCAGAGGTGGGGCAGGAGCTCCGGCTGATTGGAGGGGAAGATCCCAGCTACTCCAGGCCCAGCCAATCCCAGCAAGAGGCACAGTGGGGAGGGGCAGGAGCTCCGGCTGATTGGAGGGGAAGATCCCAGCTACTCCAGGCCCAGCCAATCCCAGCAAGAGGCGCAGTGGGGAGGGGCAGGAGCTCCTGCTGATTGGAGGGGAAGATCCCAGCTGCTCCAGGCCCAGCCAATCCCAGCAGGAGGGTGCAGTGGGGAGGGGCAGGAGCTCTGGCTGATTGGAGGGGAAGATCCCACCTACTCCAGTCCCAGCCAATCCCAGCAAGAGGCGCAGTGGGGAGGGGCAGGAGCTCCGGCTGATTGGAGGGGAAGATCCCAGCTGCTCCAGGCCCAGCCAATCCCAGCAGGAGGGGCAAACACGCCTGCACCCAGGGAAGGCAGCAGTCCAGGCCGACTCACCCGCACCGTGTGGTTCTTCATGCTGATGGTGGGAACGTGTGTCTTGAGGAACAGGGTTGCCTGCCCATCCACCTTGACACGGTCGAAGTCGCGGAACTCCTGTGCAGCCGGGGGTGAAACGGGGCGGCTGTTAGCCTCAGCCAGAAGTGAATCTCTGTTTTAACTCGCCCCCCCCCCGCACCCGGCCTTCACCCCCACACTGGCCCTGCGGGATCCGCACCGTCCATGGAGCAGCTCCTGCCCGGCCAAACTTCCCCCGGGGCCAGCCCCAGGCAAGAGGCGAACTTGCCCCTGGTGGCTCATTCTGCCCTGGGCCCCGCTACGGAGCTTGTCGGGAGGGGGACGAGCCAGGCCAGCTGGCGGATGGGATGGAGGGATGGCCACTGCCACGAGGAACCCAGCTGAGACCTTCCAACTCATTGCTCAAGCCCAGACAGCTGAGGGTCTGTCCCCCTTCCAATCACGCGTTCGCGCTCTCTGGCTGCTCCCGCCCACGCCGATGGCCGAGCCCTCTCGGAACCTCGCGAAAGGCTCCACGTGCGCCTCGTGGCAGCGCGTCCCCCACACACGGGGCTTCGTGCAAATCCGCATTTCATGGGCTTTCAGTAGCTCAGCACTGATCCCCTCCCCCCGCTGGTAAAAGCCACCCTCCCAGAGCAGCCGCGGGCAGCACTGACCTCGATGAAGGTGCTGTTCCACACCCGCGCCCGGATGCTGATGGTCGTTATGTGCCTGGAGTCCTGGATGGGGCATTCGAACCAGATGCAGCGGGACGTCCCCTTGGAGCAGCTCTGGGGCAGGAAACAAGGAAGCTGGTGGGAGGGGCCCAGCCAGCCATGTCCCCTCAAGGCCGGGTGAGGACCCCGCCAGGGGGAGACCCTGAAACGAACCCTCAGTTCTTGGTGGTTTTGTCCCAACCACACACGCCGAACATCGGTCAGTTACAGGCCTGGTCAGCTGAGACCCTTTGACACCACATCCCTGTAACCCACCAACTGGCCCTGAGAGACAACTGCCCTCTGGTGGGCACAATCGGAACTACTTAGCCACGTGTCATAGGCCTCACGCCGCCACGAGCTGGCAGAGATTCCCCGGAGATCTTGGGCAGGCGGAGCTGGGCTCTCGCCCCGTCATTGCCTCGAGCTGGGGTGCGTGAGGGACGTGCTCCAGACGGCGCTTCCTGCTTGTGCGGCCACTCAGGAGAGACCCGATGCCACCCCGCTGATCAGCAGAGCGCCTCCAGCTGGGCTTCGCGTCTCCTGGTGGTGCACATTCACACCTGCCCCGGTGCATCCACAATTATTTCGCACGTGGGTGGGAAACATCCTCCCACGGATGAAAGGACTCGAGGGAACACTGGCTGCAGACTGTGCTGGGGATGCAGCAAGCAGGTCGCTGCCCCTGCGAGGCCACCGGGGGCCCCAGCCCTGTGGGGCAGCGCACGAGAACAGCCCTTACCAGCAGAGTCTCCGACATGGCTTTCTTGGAGGTGGCCAGGGTGACGGGGGCATCGGGTGGGAAACATCCTCCCACGGATGAAAGGACTCGAGGGAACACTGGCTGCAGACTGTGCTGGGGATGCAGCAAGCAGGTCGCTGCCCCTGCGAGGCCACCGGGGGCCCCAGCCCTGTGGGGCAGCGCACGAGAACAGCCCTTACCAGCAGAGTCTCCGACATGGCTTTCTTGGAGGTGGCCAGGGTGACGGGGGCATCGGCCGGCAGTCTGAACAGCTGAATGCTGCCTGCTGCATGCTGGAGGGAGAGACAATCAGCCACGACAGGCAGGGAGCGAGTGGCTGGGAGGGCGGAAGGAATTGGTTTGGGGGAAAGTCCCGTCTGCCGAGGGAGAGAGAGGGGGGCAGAAACCCGGAATACGCTTCAGTCCTCCTGGGCTGGGGAGGGGAGGTAAAGGGGCTGACTGCATGGGCTAGACGAGGGTAAGAGGGAGAGACTGAGCAGGGAGGGGAGGCAGGGG